TAGATTATTATACGAGCAATGCAGGCACAAAGTCTCTGAAGACGATTCTGAGGAGGAGTTTAGTGTCTGCTTCAAATAATTTGTTTCCCATCGTTTCGTTGTTATCATCCACCTCTGAACTTGGAAACAGCTAGAAAACAGTAGGGTGTTTATGCATGACGTGAAAGGAGCTTCATGTGCTTATTGCGTTTCACACGTTTTCTTTATGGTACGTTACGTGATGGATGGTATTCCAAACCGACAACAGTGCCCTGGATGGCACACATGTTGGCTTGCGTGTCCTATTTCGTTGCGCAGTGCACACGCGACCAGTTTTGCGCTAGCAGCACACTGCTGTAACAAGCTGCTGTCTTTACGTGACATGAACGTGTAACGTACATGCTACAAAACCCGATAAAGCAGGCGGAATATCTAATTCCGATACTTGTCTAACGAAACGTTTGAGTTGGTGCTTACGCCCAGGCTCCGCATTTGGTGCTTAGCGCGAAAGATAATGATAATCTTGTTTCACGCTGCGCAAAAACTCGCTGTAGCTCGACAATTTTGAAAAACCACTGGACTACATACGTACTGAAAATTAACGAAGGGGATGGTTTCCACTCCTTACTGCCAATCTTCGACTAGGAGTCGCGTCTTCGCCAGGCAAGTGAAACGATCTTGCCAGGCCTGAACCTACGCATCGAAGTCAGGGACTTGCGAGGACAATGTGACCATTGCAGACGAGCATTTTCGCGCTGATGTCGTTCGGAACGCAAATCTGCTTTCGCAGACTTACAGTCAGCCGGAGTGTATAGCCGAATTACTTAACTATGCTCCCTGAAGTCGCGGAAGTTAAGCGATTCGATACACCGCGGCTTACCGGACGGGTGACTGTCTGGGAATCCTGGTTACCAACAGCGCCGAGCCCCAGGTCAGCGGGACAAAGGGCATCGACCGACTGTGACGTTACGTGACAAATATCTTAACAGAGGGTCTCTCTAATGTATAGACTTTCAATGTTCACAAAGGACTAAAGACACGTGATTCGTAAAAGACGCAATGAAATTAAAAAAAAACAAGAAAATTACTGCTTCCCCCGAGCAGCAGAGAAGGCGTTGCCTCCTGAAATGGAACCAGCCTAAGGGCGGGTTTTCAAAGTTGTTGAGCTTCTTCTTCTTCGTGAGCGATGATAATGAAACCGCGTTCCTCCCGTCAGCTGCAAGTACGAGCGAAAGGGCGAGCTGAGTGCATCGCGCGGCGTGGTGGGCGACGGGGGTGGCAGAGGGGGTGGTTAGAGCAGGGGGTGCCAGTGCGTGAGCGTGCGGCCGGGCGACTGCAGCGCCCGCGTCACGTGACTCGTCGCCCCTTCGCCCTCGCCGTCGCCATCGCCCTCGGCCCCGCCCGCACTCGCGCCCGCGCCACCCTCCGACGCGCCGAACGACGCTCGCCCAAGAACCACCTTCTTCCCTGCAACAAACACACAACCCCTCCACTGTTTACAAACATCACACTTACATACATCATGTTCAAAACTTACTCTGTTAATATAATAATACTGATACATTATGAAAACAGCTACTCACATATTGTGTTGTTAATTATTAGTATTATAATCGTTTAGTACATTTACAAGTTTAATGCATATGAATCTACATTTTAAAAATAAATAATATGAAATGAATTGTGTAAAATGAACAATATAGTAATGTAAGGGATGTAGGCACAGAGGTTTGAGCACCGCACATGAACTTGCTGCCGCTTGCGGCAGGATCTACAAAATATTTGAATCGATAAATCTATACTTTTACATTATATCACTACCGATCACTGCAAATACTATTTAAAATGTAGAATGTTCAGGGCGCCATATTTACAGGTCTATTTCCCTGAACGGGCTAGCAAATATTATTTTTTTGTATTAAGATTAAATGTTCTTTTCCAGTATTCACAAAACCAAAATCTACTTGTAGAGCCGGATAAAATGCAATCTATTATCGATGGTTCTCGCTGGGATTGCTTTCGCAGTCTCTGAGGCCGAACACACCCGTTATCGTCCGGTGAAATGTAGGCATATAGGTACGCAGATGGTCCAGAAGTATTGGTGCCACACATTTCCCGCTAATCTCGGCACCATCGTCGGAGCACTGAGTGCACTAAGTGGTCCTACTTTCGCTGTGTTTTTATTATGAGAAACGTCGTGTACTCTTTTACAAAAGGAAAAATAATTTAAAATTCTACTATCTCTAGATATTTTCTTCAATTAAATTTTTTTAATGCCAGCATGTCCCAGCTTCGTATTTTCAATTGCACAAATATGCAGATGTGCCTAGTGCAATCCAATTTTAATTGTTCTTTCATCCTACAGCATGCCTTATCAGTCTGTAGCCCAGTTCGGTTATTCCCTTCCCTGAAAGTGAAATAATTAATGCTTTTAAATGGTTAATAGAAATACTTGTGCGAAAAACGGAGTTGAGGCATTTGGTGACGTCTCCAACATTCGTTATCCATCGCTGCCGTTTTGTTCGAAAACGCGGATGGCGCTCCCCAATAACAGGCCTAGTATCGGTATCGTTCGATAATGGTATCCCTGAAATAGAGTTCTCGAGCACAGCGGTATTGACGCTCTGGTCTCGTCGTCGAGAACGATCGGAAGACTGAGTGCCTTTGTGTCTAGGCTTCACTACATTAGTGTAGAGGGAAGAGTCTTACAAGCAACTGGTATACATCGCGTATACTTTGTAGGCATTTCGTACTAAAATCGAGACTGCTTTGGAGCTAGAGCTATTGCTAGAACCTCTGTATCGAGAAATGCTTTGAAAGACCAGAGTGTCTCTCTATGGCCGACCATGCAAACTATCCATGAGCCAACAGTTGAAATTGTTCAATTTCACTTGCGTTTGCGTCCGCGTTATGCTCGGAAGCCTATGATTATCACTCCACCAGTGCGGCGAGGAAATACATCACTAGATACAATTCATGTTTACGTGGTCCATGGGCGTACTATTTAAGAAAGTGGGTCATTGTGATACCATGTATATGAATATACAAATGTAATAAATGAATATGATTTTAATGTATGTATATCGTGCAAAATTCAATATGACAAGTCGATTGGTACTTGCGCAGTACACTCATCTGTTCATTTGTATTTGAGAACTGATCATACAAATTAGACTTAAATGTGAATGAAATTAAACACAATCATACTACGTATGTGATAAAGTTTCTGTTTTGTATAAAAAGTGGTAACCCCCTATGAATAAAAAAGTGTTATCTAACAATTTCAATTCGAAACGGCGTACTTGCAAATTAGAAAAAAAAAATCAAATTTGAGATGAGTTCCAATTTGAGATGAGATTTTCCAACACAGAAAGAGTGGCACCGGCAAGGAAGTGAGGAGCCAAGATATGACATTAATTGCAATCGTGGGCTTCAGCGGCCAGTCCTGGAAAAGTTCTCGGCTACCGGGAGAATGAAGCGTCGAGGACAGTGATGTCGACATTTAGACTATCATATATAAGATGGCCACGATATGATAGTCAAAACATCGGCATCACTGTCCTCAATGTGACGTCACCCGGACAGCTAAGAGCCTTCACAAGATAACGCATTGGATGAGGAGCCCACTTCTGAGTAAACAAGTGCCTCCCCGGCCTTCCTCTCCCCATCTTCTTCCGGGTCTCCTTCCGTCTTTGTCCCTCGCGCACCCCCATTCACAACCACGCGCATCACCTCCAACCCGCCCCGCCCACTGGCCTCGGAGAGACTCCAATCCGCTCCCACCCAAGTCACTATTGTCCATAAAATATTTGTATACTTGACAGCTGTGGTGGGGGTAAAACAATGTTGCCACTTATGTACTCGGGCGGCAGACATGTGGTCGTGTGATCGTACTTTTATCAGGTCACAACAGTGACAAGAAACAAATCGCAAATAAGAGCCCACAATACTTGACATAGAATCGCACACACGATACACAACCAAAGAAGTGATGGAGCTCTTCATTTTACAGATGCCTAACGGTGTAAGATTTCAATTTCAATTTTACACAAATATTTTACGGACAATAGTGACTTGAGTGGGGGCGGATTGGAGTCTCTCCGAGGCCAGTGTGCGGGACGGGAGGGGCGGGCCGAGGTGGGGCGGGGTCTGAGGTGATGCACGTGGTTGTGAATGATGGGAGAAGATGGGGAGAGGAAGGCCGGGGAGGCACGCGCCTACTCAGAAGTGAGCTCCTCATCGAATGCTTTATCTTGTGAAGGCTCTGAGCTGTCTGGGTGACGCCGCGTTGCGGACAGTGATGCCGATGTTTTGACTACCATATCGTGGCCATCATATACATGATGGTCAAATCGTCGACATCACTGCCCTCGACGCGGCGTCCCCCGGCTGCCGAGAACTTTCACAGGACTGGCCGCCGAAGCTCACGATTGCAATTAATGCCATATCTTGGCTCCTCACTTCCTTGTCGGTGCCACTCTTTCTGTGTTGGAAAATCAACTCAACTCAAATTTGATTTTTTTTAAATTTACAAGTAGACCATTTTGAATTGAATCTGTTCGATAATTCCTTTAGTGTGCAAGATAGGACTGATAAACTCGAATCCCCTCTAATTGCTCCAGGGACCAACGCGTCACTGACGAGCAGGTATCGCTCAGTTCCGCACATACACTTGCCCACGCCCAGCTGTCCTCCCCGCTCTCACCTCCGCTGTCGCCCCTGTCCCCGCCCTCGCCCACAACCCCGCCCACTACCCCACCCACGCCCATTATCCCGCCCACGTCCACGACCCCGCACACTCCTACGACCCCGTCCACGCCTACGACCCCGTCCACGCCCACGCCCCCTGGCCCAAGCCGCTCACCAACGTCTTTGCCTCCGGCTTTGGCCGGAACATCTAGCTAATACTAGATGCCCATTGACCCAAAGTGATAATTTTCCTTCTGTCTTCATGTCCTAGAAATTTGTGGCATTTATTCCAAGACATGCTGTCTATTCCCTTACACTGAAATGAGCGGTGGCTTACCGATGGGCCCGTTGCGCGTGCACAGCGCCACCTGGCAGAGCAGCGCGGCGCGGCGTGGGCCCGCGGGCGGGAGCGGCGCCCGCACCACGGCCGCCTCCTCGCCGCCCGCGCCCGCGCCGAAGTGCACGGCGATGTTGGGCGCGAAGGGCTTGGTCCTGCGCGCCACCACCACCGTGCCGCCCGCGCCCTCGCGCACGCTCAGCTTCACGAACAGTTGCGCTGCAACACAACACACCCCGTTGAAACCGCACGCCCCCGCAGTTGGACGTAGTGTTACTAGGTATCTACTAATCGTACATCGATGTTTCTAAATCGATGATATTAAATTCTGATTAATGATGATATTCTCATCGATATTAAAACACACAACAATACCTACTAGGGATGCAAAATGGTCAACAAAACTTCGATGTTTCTAAACATCGATATTCAAAAATAGAACAGTATCTACTAGGGATGCAAAATGGTCAACAAAACATCGATGTTTGAATACAAAGATGTACCATTTTTTTAAAAACGGTAATAAAATATTGCCCCAAACCATTGCTGTTTTTAAAACTGTATTAGTTAGAAATCATTAATGTTCAGGCCGTGGGATTTATATTGTGAATTTAATTTTATTCGATTTTAATTGAGATTTAATCGAATAACTACAGCCAGAAACATGAAAATTAACAAACCTGTTATTAACTCATTGGATATTTTGAAAAATATTTAAATACCTTGTATCCACAAAATCTCGATTTAGTTATTTTTCACCCTCGGTACTTTGGTCTGAACAATGTTCAATTTACTAAGATCTGAAAGTTATTATTGGTTTTTATAATGATGGTTCGTTTTACCTTCAAAAATAAAATACCAAGCTCATAAAAACATCGAACGTAAAACATCAATGTTAAAAACATCGGATACAAAAAATAAATGTCAAAAACCTAGATGTTTTTTTAAAACACCGATCGTTTGAAAACATCGACATCGATGTTGCATCCCTAGAATCTACTACTTGGTTGATCGGGCGACGCCACAAACTAGGCACAGATGCCAACGTTTCGGCGCCATACTGCGTCCTACCTCAGGACGAAATGCATTTCAGGACACTGCTTCAGAGGGATAATATATTGCTTTAAGGCGAAAGGCATTTAGTCCTGATGCACAAATATTAGAAATAAACATACACAATAGAAATAAATGAACAAAATTAAATAAAAGCACAAGCAGATATGTATACAAAATGGATGAAATTTGCCCATCCCTAATCAGTAACTATCTCTTCACGTCACTGCACGTCCCTTCAGTACTCGGTAATTAGCACGGCTGCAGGTAAATTGTTTCAGTCAACAATGGTCCTATTCCCAAAGCTGCAGTTATCAGAAACCGTTCATTGCTTTCTGCTTTTATTTTATGTCCGTGCCTCCCCCCCCCCCCCCGCTTCCCCATAACTAACATGCCATTTAAGGTCTTTCACTGACAGCTTTTCATGCCGGTTGCTTTGTGTATGCCTTAGAGGGCATACAGTTGTGCCTTTCTCCATATAACTTAACACAAATAAAGCACAAATCATAATAAGATGTATGTAATTTATTCTTTATATATGAAAGAAAAACGGCAAATAAATTACATGTTCAGGAAGTTTAGGCAAGTCCGAAGCCTTCAATTCTTATTTTCGTATTTTCTACCCGCAGTGACCATATTTGAATCACTGTCCAACACAAAGGCCATCACCTTCTTATTAAAAATAATAGGGGAGATGAAATAATTAAACTGTGATATAAATATATTTCGCAATGTTTCCATCATTGCAGTACTAAAACAGGTATTTTAATCTCAATAAAATTCACAATATTTACAAAAATTTCCGAAACACATAGAGAACTTAAACGATAGAACTATATTTTTCAAATGAAAGATAATTGACGTCCATATAACGCATCCTAAGATCAGTAAAGGAAATAGTTGGAAAGTGGGCCCGATTACATTTTAGCATGAGCCCCGAACTAAGTGATGTCGCTTACCGAAACAAGAACTTATTTATCATTTCGTTTTTGTCTGAAACATGTTAACTAATAAGACGTTACCGATATTTAACGAAAAGTTAATTAGTGGGTATTTTTAAAATATTGAAATATCATATATGAGGGTTATCGATTTAATCGTGTTTCTAAGAATAAGGTTTTCAATTTATTTTTGTGGGAACCATTTGATAAAATTTGTTAAAATAATTCGCTGCTATTTATTACTCTTTTATATTTCTTTATCAACTTCGTTTACATATATTAAACTGCTTTAATTAATACAAAACTAGAAAACTGTGCAGAAACGTTAACGCGGATCTGCATAGTTATTCTGTTGTTGAAAAGCAAGTTTTTCAGTGCCCAAGAATTTAAAAAAAAAATACTGCATATTACTATCCCCGTAAAAGACGTTATGAATTCTTCCTGTTTAGATTCTACTTAAGCTTTGCTCGCAGCACATGTGTTAAATATGACGTTGTTTGTGCTTTTAGACTTTCAGAATATATTGAGTGGTGGACATATACAATTAATTATGATGCAGAATGCGATAATTTTTTCCAGCAAATTTTCATTCGTCCGGAAAACTATCATTCAAGTTAAAATGACACGTTAGATTCAGAAAAAAACATTAGATATCCGAGAAAGTTAATGAGAGATTAGAGTTGGAATACAAAAAACGTGACACATTCAGCTATAACTTAACGTTACGAGAAGAACAAAGAGTAAGCAATCGACTGTAAGTAATGACACGTAATCGTTGCGGTGTCCATCAATCAACACCTGAAGGAGACAAAAAAGTGAGAGTAACCGCATCGCATGGTCGGCAGGCAATTCCTTTATCCTTCGCACCTGACCCGGGCCAGAGTGTCGGAGGACACCTGCAGTTGCCCTAGTGCGAAACAAGTGATTCTTAGACGCAATGTAAGAAGACATAGTTTTAGGTTGTTTCAGGTCGACTGTACACACACACACACACACACCTACATACATACATACACACACAGCTACATACATACATACACACACAGCTACATGCATACATTCACACACAGCTACATACATACATACACACACAGCTACATACATACACACACAGCTACATACATACACATACTCCTAAATACATACATACACACTCCTACATACATACGTAATACACACACAAATATACACACACACTCCTACATACATACATACATACACACACATACAAGCATAAACACACATTATATATTATATGTTCGTATTTTTCTTTTTTTATTACAATAAATTCCGTTAGCCGTTCTGAATGGCCGAGATTTTTAAGGTAGTAGTGCCGAAGGAACGCGGTTCGAGTCCCGCCTCGTGTAAGATTGTCTTTGTTGCCTTTCGCCCCCTATCATCATCACATCATGTCATCTTCACAGTTACCACACCGTTAAATGCAATAGTGGACGCTAATGACTTAGATTTTGATGCGACCGTAAATAACTAAAAAAAAAAGTCTCCGTTCGTTCCCAGCTGGGGCACGTGTCTGCGCAACTCACCCTTCTTCTGCTCATGCTCTCGCGCCGCCTGCAGGCTCCAGCGCAGACGCAGCAGGGTCATCTCCAGCACGTCCGGCTCCCCCGCGGCACCCGGCGCCAGGCGCAGCGACACCTCCACCTGGCTGCGCCGCGTCTCCCGCTGCTGCGCACGCGTTCAACACTCGGTGAGCCTCCGCCATTGCAGCTATTGAATATGTGCATGCAGATGAGAATTGTTGAGATTGAATTGTGTTTCCGGGCGTGTCTGCTGCTGAGTTCGTTAGATCTGTAAGTCTCATGCGGTGATCTTCCCCCGCTGGATGGCGAGATCCAGTGCTGACCTATACGTCGGCTCGTGGGATTTTATCCAATCAATTGTCTCACACCAGCGGGGCACCGTCCCAGCCAGGAGAAGCTTTAATCTCCTGTTAGACACATCTGTTTGTCCGAGATGTGTGTAGTACACGTAAGTGTGTGTATAAGGCAGAGGAAGAAAAAGTCGCGCGCGGTCCGTGGCCAATTTTTATGTTACTTCGCCATTCGGCTGGTGTTGATCGGAGAAACCACGAGAAACTACCGAACGGAGCATCCGACCGCTAGAGGTCTTCAGACAGAAGCTGAACGCGACCTAGCACACTGCCACTGTTGGGACTAGAATCTCCCGATTATATTCACTGCAGTGACATCAGTCGATGCTTGTGCTACATAATCCGTTTATTTTTATTTTTTTTAAACAAGAAGAATTTCCCTTGAGGTAGAGACCTCCTGAAATCATTGGTTGAGTAGTACCGCCTTTGCACACTTAAGGCTGTCTGAGATGACTTAATGAAATGCTCTCTCTGCTCGTGAACTAATGAGCAGTGTGCTGTCTTATGATGACCCCATGTCGTGTGATATGAGGTCGGACGGCCGCTTCGAGACGTGGAGAAATGGCGATTTGTACTCTGAAGATTTCCGCGTCCCACACTTCCGTCAGATCGTCAATTATTTCACGGTTTCAAAAGCAGACGCGTAGCATTTTAGTATATTGGCATCAACTATGACATCTATATTAGCATTATATTTTCAATGGTATTGTGCTCGTCCATAATTACTTTTGTCATAGCTTCCCAATAAACTAAATGTTTGAATAATTTCTTCCAAAAATGACACAATATTGTTTCTTTTAATTCTAAAACCATGTTTCAAATTGACCAACGAGAGTAGTTAAAATTATCTGTATATTGTAAAAAATAAACAAATTGATGCAATGAAAAAAATAATTATCGTTATTTTTAACACGAATACTAATGTATTCAGAAATAATTTTTACGTTTAATCACTTCGTTTTTTTAAGCTGTGAAACATTTACGTGGGTGGCGGGGCCCTTGCGATTGCCAGGACGTGGCCCTTAATAACGTAGTTGTTTTCTCTTCTGTTTCTATCACTACAAAGCCAGTTTTTATTTTATTCGGCCATCTATTTACGGTTCAGGTTACTGACTATTGTTGACGGAGATCTTTTGGAAAAATGTGAACTAAAATAGTCTGACGTCTCTGACATACCTCCGACTCCACCATAGAATGAATGAAGTCACAAAGAAGAGCCCTCCGACCTGTTTCGCAACGTCCTTCCTGAAAACCATGAGCTTTTTGTCTACCTGTTCACATACTGTTTTTCAAAGGTTGGTGAATAGAATCATATATAACTTATGGTTTATTTCCTAACTGTGGGTGCCCTGGACGGATGCGATAAATGTTTTTGGTTTTTTAATAATTTAAATTAATACGGAAGTATGTTGAGAGTACAGTGAATGATCGTGCATGCGAGTATGATTATTCGATGAAGGTTATATTATTTGAGGCCCATTTTCTCCTATTTTATGGTGGTCTGAATCTGGCTTTAGGGAAGCGTGAGTTGATGCGCAGGTTCGGTTCTGCTGTGCGTCCAAGATTGAAAATGGTGGTGCTGGGAGATGAGGGGAGCGATGTGAAGAAGTCTTCGGACAGTTTGGTGATGGGTTATTTTATTGTCGGGATTTGCAGTTCGTGGTGGACTTGCTTGTTCGAAATGAACCATGGGGCTTTAATTATAGTCCTTAGAGTTTTATTTTGTATAGTTTGTAAAAACCCCCGAGCTGGTAGGTGTTGCCGCTGGACCACTTACAGCCTTCCCTTACTCTGTTCTTACACCGGTGGTGGCGGGTGACTCGTAAGGTAGACCGTACTATAACTTTCTATCCCTCAAAAAATTCTAAGAAGTTAATGAAAAAATGTAGCATACTATTTGGAGAAAATCACAGGCATGCCAGTAACGATAAAAGTTATATATTAAGCAATAGGTAGGAAATTGTTCTGAATTCCACAGGAGAACCAACTGTTGCAAATTGAACAGATACGATGTCGTGAAGTTCCTACAACTACATCACAAATCTTACTTCGCAAACAAAGTCATCTTAAATGATGAAAGAAAATAGAAGTTAACAGAAATGTTTCAAGATGACCAACTATCCCTTCGCAGTTTTGTATTAGTTGATTCCTAATATCTAAACTATATGTGCAGGGTGACGTCCGGTTAGAAGCTCCACGGTGACGAAAGTAACTTTTGTTTTACATGATCTTAAATTGCTCCTCGAAGTGAAGCAAGTTCTCGCTAAAATGCTGTATGTAGCAAATGAATATAGAAGTACAATGTGCATGCAATTTGCTCTTAGCAGATGTACAAAAGTCATCTTAAGGGGAGACAAAAAGGAATTGACTTTGCATTTGTTATGCTCATTGTGATTCAACACCTTGAGCCATGAAAATCGCCAGTCCAGGTATAGAAGAATGTGTAGAGTCCAGCTTCGAGCTGTTGGAGGAGACAGAGCAAGAAACTACTGCCCGAAAAACAAAAACAAAACAAAATCGGCTTGCAATGCATCATATTGGCCACCCTCGAGCTGATGTGATAGATTTCTTGACATGGAAGGAAAGAGAGAGAGGATTCAATGAAATTGAAAGCGTTCTGACACAATGGAAATGGAAATGTTGAAATGGGAAAGAATGTGGTCATTCATCAAGAACCACTGCAAGCGATCGCTGCAAGGGATCAAGGTAAACAATAGCCTTTAAAGGGGAGTGAGCATATGGGTGCGTGCTGAGTAAATTGGAAAATATACTTTAAATCCTTCATTCCTTTAATGAGATGATTGAAAAGTGGAATGAAAATATGCAGTTCGTCAAACTACTTTTCATTCTTTTATACGATACATGTATGTCAACATTACCTTTCCATACTATTTTTTCATAAGAGTTGGAAGGCACTTCAGTAGTTTTTACAGCTGTTCCAATTGTCGTGATAGCGTTTATGGAAAGCGTTGACACATTGATTAAGACGGTGCCACCTGGTAGAAGTTGGCCGTTCGCCCGCCGAGAGCGCGTAAGGCTGGGTGATTGTAGCGCTACACGCGGTCGTACCTTCAACTGCTGCTGCTGTGGTGTGGTGGGCTGCACAGCGCTGCGAACGTCGTGCAGTCGCCGCCAGATGTCGGTGCCTGCGGCCAGCGCTTGTTGGCCCTGCGGCGTGTCCAGAGACCATGTGACTGCGCCCAGCGCCTGCGATGGCACACGCCCACACGTCAGAATCAGAACACTGGCGATGGGCAGACAATTAAGGACGATGCCCACCACCAATAATGCTTTAATTACCATTTATACTACTTTAAAAGAAATATATTACATATTCTTGTTTAACTTGTTTACTTCGTTAGATTTTTTCCCAGATCCATTGTATCGCAATGCAATTTGAATGATTTTCTAGTTTCAAACCGGTTGGAAACATAATCATGCTAATTCCACAATTGTATTTAATTATCGTTATTTCTAGTTTACCCCAGGACAAAAAGAGTAAAAACACTGCCGCTTCCACTCAGATTTGAATGGGAGAGTTCTGGGAGAAGTGTATCCTCGTTTTTGCCTGGCTTAACGTCCACTGATCATTTGGACGATAGCATGAGGTAAAAATAAATTCAGAAAATATATTGGGGCACAAATACGGTGAATATGCCCAGTCTACATTTTGTCTATCAATAAAGGTAAATTATAGAATGATGTGATTCAAGAACACTACAATTATCCATTTTACTTTCTCACCTTCGTTCGTAAAAAGAACCTCTAGTTGCCGAGCCGTAATATCGAAAAAATGGATACATCTCGTTCCTGTACGAACGTAGTAGTAATTAACTTCCTCTCACACATGTAGTCAGAACTCATTTTTTATGGGTCCTTTATACTGAAAAATGGATAGAGGGCAAAACGTCCGCCCGCCCGTCCGTCCGTCAGTCAGTCAGTCAGTCCGTCTCCAAGCTAGTGTCTAAACCGTTCGAATGATTTTCTCCAAAATTGATATTCCCCGATCGATTTGAGAGATCACGAGTCGCTGCAAGTTTGAAACAGATATTTCACGTTTGGATGTACTTTACAGAAAGCCTTAATTACTTTTTAAACTCTTTTTTTTAATGGCTTCATATTTTTGGATTAAATTTTGTCCTTGGATAGCGTAAAGAATGCTTAAAGGTAGCGCGGGGCGCGTTTTGGTTAAACTCAATGAATTTTCGGAAATTCAAAAAAAAACACGAGAAAGTATGTGCTGTTGGAGCATACAAGTTAATATAAGTATGGAATAGTGCCATCAGTACATTCAACTTTCTTCGTTATCAAGAGATCACGACAATAAATATTGGATTAAAAACCCCACGAATGTTTTCAGCGCCATCTACTTTCTTTCCTAAATCATTTAAGTAACATGTAAATCGTTTCACATACAACTGGGGGCTTTCCCAGGAATTACCAGTGTGCAGATATTTCCAAGGGCTCCTTGTTTTTCGCTTCTGTTACGTGCACTGCAGCGTGGAGCTGTTCTCTAATGGCCATGGAATTGGCCGTGGGAGGCGCCGCGATGTATTTCCCACCAAACGCGGGAGGTGTCGTCGTCGATTGTTTCCTCTGCTTCTCTCAAATGTGGCTTTGTCTTCGCGATGAACGGAACGAAATTAGGTAATTGGATTGAGGCCACAAAGGTAACATATATTCATTATAGAAGTGTCCCTCTTTTTATGCAAATTAATTTCAAAACCTAAGAATGTTAAATTTCATTCCTTTTTATATATCAAGTATAATCAGCTCGTGTTTGGTTTTTATTATTATTATTATTATTATTATTATTATTATTATTATTATTATTATTATTATTATTATTATTATTGCATTCATCAATAGGTTATTTGTACCATGCATTGTTACAGGGTCAAAATATACTGCTGAACTTTATTAATTTATTAACAGGTTATCTAATAAAAAATGTTACCTAATAATATTTTCTAAACGATTCCGATGCATTTTCACCAAACAATTCAGTATATATGGGGTTCAGCATTTCTAGTTATTACCTTGTTGATAGCACTTTTCAAGTTAAAAATATTCGACTAACCCCCTCGTATACTTTCTCGACCTTACTTCGATTGATTGGTTGTTAGTGATTCCGGGTGCGTCAACGACCAATGTCCAGTAAGTGTAGTGCATATGTTGCTCGGGAGGTGGCGGTGGTCTTCCCCTGCTGTATGGCGAGATCCGCCGCCGACCTACTGTCGGCTAGCAGGATTTTTCCCAACCAGGTACCTCCCACCAGCGGGGCACCGCCCCTGCCGGTACAAGCCTAAGCTCCCGACCGGTCTCCCGGCATGTGTGGTAGTGTAGTTCATGTTAGTGTCAATGTATGTAAGGGGAGAGGATAGGACAATGAGGAGGTAGGAAGATCACGCGCTGTTCGTGGTCCTTTCGATAGGGAACTGCTCCGGCATTCACCTTTCAGAGAAACCACCGAAAACTACCGATCAGAGCAGCCGGCAGCTAGAATTCTCCCCCAGACAGCGACTGAATTCGACCTAGCTGACGAGCCACCGTCGGGACTCGAACCTAGGGCAAAGGGATTGCAGTGACAGCAGTTGATGCCCTGAGCCATCTATCCCGGTTCTTACTACGAAAATAAAGATGTCAAATTTATCAAAATATCAAATTTATCAAAAATTCATCAAAATAAAAATTTAATAAATTACGGTCGAATATTGACCACTGGGTCAAGAAACGGCACAAATTAATTAATGATTTACTAGTGACCACTAGTAAATCATTAATTAATGATGTTCTTATGTAATTTTCACTCTCCTTCTTCTACCCTGTCACTTGTTTTCATTTTGATTCTTTACTCGTACTAGTTGTCTACTACTCTCAATGTAGTTGACTCTCTCATACAAAGTGAGTTTGTTCAAGTCTTGAATCTCCATTATTATTAAATACAGCACGGATTTGTGGTTTAATACTGTCTGTCAGCATAAATTAATTAATGATTTACTAGTGATCACTAGTAAATCGTTAATTTATGCTGTTCTTGACCCCAGAGTCAATATTCGACCGTAATTTATTAAATTTTTATTTTTAACGTTGTAGAGATTATTTTGCCAAAGAGTATACGTGTATCAATATTGCATATATTTTTTAAAAATTTCATTATATTACTTTATCTGCGAGCGTATACAGCTACGTCATTGGTGTGTGTTCTTTGCTATAATTAACTTCAATACCTATGAAATTTGAATACCTTCCTATGCGAAAAGCGGGCTCAATGGACGTCAAATATACGTATTACCTCAAGTAGCCTTTGTTTATGTGCAATGTTACATTAAGCAAAAAAATCCCCGCTAACTTAGGTAAAAACTAATAATAGTCACGGAAAAAAGTTTTTATTACAATTATTATTAATATTATTAATAATATGCTTTTCACATACACAAATACTAGTATGGAGTGAACTATTTTTCTCTTAAACGCTAAGCTTGAAATAAAAGTCTAAAGCTGTCTCATTCTGTAGATCTGAGCATAGAAAACAAAACTCTTGACCCATAGGGGAAACGAAAATCAGGTTTTACGGGTCTAAAACCCATCGTTTTTATTTACGTACGATTGAAATGTGTGGTGGTGTATTGCATCTGCAGTCTATATTATTTTAGTCTATTTAATTCAATATATTTGTAACATATTTTATTTTTAATATTTTTTACTTTTGCTTTGCTTCTCCATGTAAACTTTAACTTTGCCAAAAATCACACACCTCCGTGCGCACGACTTGCTTAAAGAGGGGTACACAGATTTCTCTTCACATATTAATAAATAGAATATACGGAAGAAAATCCCAGGTGTACACTAAAAGAACTTCGATTGAAATTTCAAATAAACCACGAACTCACAGTTTCCATGGAAATATTTAGATGAATTATTGAACTCTCAAAGACTTTCGTAGAGAGCGTGAGAAAGCTAATACAATCTTGACTTAGGACGAAACCAATTTGAATTTATTTATTTCACTAAGACACCGTGATTTAAGGTAGGATGTCGTTACAGCTACGCTGCGGCAGGCAGTCGAGGGTCCAATGTACACATTATAGGATGCCTAGGAAACTTTGGTTTCATTCATCGCGAAATAAAAAGAGTCGGGATCAAGAAAGAAAATGCAAGTAACTGTGTACGCCATGCCTTCGGACTGCCGAGGACATGTACCAGTCGCCTGTGGCACTTGTTGGGGATAACACGTCCTGTCATCATGACATAGAACAAATATTTTTAGAAGATGAATTTAGCATTCATTACTTCTTAAAGTAAAGTCCTTATAGCTCTGTGTTTAATTCCATTGAACGTGCCTGGTGATGCTTTAAATCTTCTGTGACGGAAGATTTATCGAAGCAGTTGGCACGAATTTTAATTGGCGAGGAAAGAGAACATATATGCTACTCTCAAACAGAACTTCGACTTCGGGATTGAGAACCTATTATTAATAATTATATTAATTCAACAAATATTGACAATTGTGTAAATAGTATTGTTTACATCCAGATTCCACATGTTATACATTGCAGTATACATAAGTTCCTTTTGTATACTATGTAATTATTCGTGAGCGTATATTTTGTTGTTATTGTTAAGTGCGAATAAAATATCTTAGTAATTTGTATTATTAATTTTAATGCAATGGACATTCGTTTAAATGAGTTAATGTTAAGTCCATTTTGAATACATGTTTAGTTTCGATTTGAATGAGTTTCTTCTTGGATTGAATGTGTTAGTTTTCAATGTAATATTTATTATTCTCTAGTTGATTGTACTCAGACCCAATGTGAACTTGTACATAAACGTAGCTGTGAATACTCCCCCTCAAAAATAATAAATATCTTAAATCAATTTCGCCAAAAACAAAAATGATAGAACAGAATATATTAATACACTTGTTAAATACATACGTAACGTGTTTACTGGAGTTTAATTCCCTGATTTGAGAAATCCATTTCCGCTTACGACAAATCATTCACATTCATTTTAAGAACAGCGCCCAATATATTGTGTTAATTTTTCTAGTGTAATTAGGAAGTTTTTGTGTTTTGTCGCCTTATTTTACACACATTCTTTACATTACAATTATCTTGTCTTTAAAGTATTGATTTTCTAACTTCATTCAGATTTGCCGATGATGAACATATGTGGTTGTCATCGTAATAATTTAAATTAATGGTCAGAATCTGGAATTACGTGCTGTAATCTGTCTAAATGCGATTTCTTTTCTGAATTAAAGACGATTATTTTGAAATTCGCACACTCATTTCAGTTAACAGGCTGTGCTTTCGTCGCCGCTTTGCTGATTGACCTGCGGGTGTGACCTTCAAATTAAATGTTTGTCGTTTCACTCACATACACAAAAAATATACACAAAGGAAACAAACACCTCGAAATTATCAATCACTCATTTGAAGTCAGGGTGTTTAGTGAGATTCGAATTTAGAGGTACGGTACCAGCCCTAAATTAATCCTAACAAAAACACTCAATTTTGTTTTGAGTTGGTGGCAGCCCAGCGTTCATATGTAATTGCAATTGCAACGCTTACTTTTTATTTTACGGCTGCTCTTCGTTTTTCTCTTCACGTGTACATTTCCGACGAGCAACATTCATGGAATCGAACATTCTGAACTTTTTTAAAAGTTTACTACCTAAAAAATCAATTTTCCTTTATTTCTATTTGTACGAGTAATATTGACAATGTTGAACAAAAATGATGAATTTCTTTGCAGCAGCGTCAAGGTTAATGACTTTTGCTAATATTAATGACCACAGAAAATAATTTTAAAAATATCCTTGTCAAATAGAACTACGAGCTTCTATGGAAACACACACGACTTATCTTGGATGTTTTTTATATATTACGTAATTTTCATTGCGCAGATGTCCATTATGATAATCAGTTGTGTAGATTAAAATATTTTTTTTTATTTCATCAAATGAATGTGACGTCGACAGACATAAGGAAACGTTTAAAATTTAATGGAAAGCGAACTCCAGAAATGGACCCAGAAAATGAATTGGGAGGGGGAGACCACGATGCACATTACAATTAATCAATATTTTCTCTTTTTTAATAATTATAATTTTATAATATATTACTGCCCCACGTTGGGCAGCCATTGAAATGAATTAATAATTTCTCATTCTCTTTTAATAATTTACTTTCACTATTTACATTATTTTACTTCCTCGTATTGGGCCTGCCATTAATTCCCATTGCCTCCTTTGATATTATTTACAATTTTACAATATTTTTAATTTAATGGAGTGGCTAGCTCTGGTTTTAATTTAATTTCTGAGCTTCAGTATACGTACGCTTCCCAAGGTACTATATTTGTCTTCGTGGATCTGAAAATACCGCTCGTACGAGTATTCGGGTGTCAAACAATTTAATTATCGTTAGGAAATGTTAGTTACTACTCTTACTGATAAGTTAAACAATTAACAAATTTTGTGTATAGATTGCCAGCGACAGTAAGTGTTGGCTGCCACAATTCATTAATTTCAAATTTCTTTTTAAGTACTTTTACCGTTCAACAATCTATTTTTATATTTCTCTACTGTTTGATAGCCATTGACATAAACAAAACCCACATAACAATTCATTCTCAATTTTAATGTAAACTTAAAATATCAATATAACTTGGCCTTGCTATACTATTTTTATTCATGTCTTTGTGCCACGTATTGCCTAAACTTCTCTTTTGAAGAATTAAGCAATCTTGACGTTGCCAATGACGTCAGAAACTGTTCCATATTTCCATTTGGAGCCTTTCTTATGTCCACACTGAATTTCACGTAATAAATTTCTACTCTTATTCACGACCTAATTCTCACGAATATTACAGTATTTTCTCCGATAAATTGCATTTATATTACTTCCCTTTTCTCTTATTACGTGTAGACCACAAGTTCCTTTTCTATCTCCTCGGACTACATACCAAAATATATCAATTTATGCTGTGACGGCCATCGATGCTTCATCTACCAAATCCAGCTTAGTTCTGACTAATCATGAAATATTTCTACACTGTACCTTGACGGTCATCGTTCCTCACCCTACCAAATCCGACATCATTCTCACAAGAATTGTTCGCTTACATCTTCTCTCTGGCCTAACCGGTTCACTTGTTTCATTGTTATATTTCTTCCTCGATGCGCTTTTGTCGCACCGTAACCAAGCATCAACGAGTTAGAGATATATCTCTAACTCGCTGCCAAGCATCAAGCGTGTTTTGTCCCCTATGAACAGTGTCCTATGATATTTATCTGCTTTTTTTAAAAAAAATCTTAAATTTCCCAAAATTTACTTAAACCAATTAATATTTGGATTTTCTGACACATCATGCTCTGAATGTCTCATTTTCATTTGCGTCATTACGCAATTTCTTTTATTTCGCCAGCTATTTGATATTAAAGTTTTGCTTATAAATGCCAAAAATCCCTTTAGGTATTTGCCTTGCCTCAATAATTTAAAGATTATTTAAAAAAATATTGATTATCTTAAATTCTTGAAATGTTTTCTTGAGTGAAATGTGTGTGTGTCTACTGCATAACTATTTCAGAGAGTATACCGAGCATTAAAAAAGATTGTAATATTGATTTTAAAAACATTTAATGAATTACTTTATTTTTGTATTATATAATTTTAAAAGACCAAATAGGTTTGTATTAAGTTTTGTATCAGCTTCTGGGTCAATGACTACCATTTCGTTCAGGATTTTCGTGCTGTTTCCCTGATCCTTAGAGCGTATGCTGAGATGGTCCCATGTTTAGCCTAGTAAATGTAGTAACTTCAGTATCTATTCACATTTTAGTTCAGCGGGTAATATAGTTATTCATATTAATGTTCTCCATGTTCTAGCGGCAGAAAGTCGATTTCTTCACAAAAGGCAGATAATTTGTATTACACTGGACCGAATATTTTCACAGCAATTCTTGCCAGAAACGTTCTTTGTCACCTGTACGAGTACTGTACGAATATGAGAACTGTACGAGTACGAGTACTCTACTGTATTGATAATTCAACTTAATATGAATACGAGTTGGGAGAGAGCTGTAGACACCGTGCAAATATGGCACTTCTCCGCATAGAACGCCACACACAGTATCTGTTTCTTGACTTTAACTAATAACTAAATAAATGGATGGATAAATTACTGATTGAGTAGTTAAGTCACCTTGCGGCGCCGCAGCTCGTCGGCGGCGTAGACGGTGAGCATGAGGAAGCGGCCGGCGGAGGCGGCGGGGGCGGCGGAGAAGGTGAAGCTCTCGTTGAACGTCGGCCACGACGCGGCCTGCGGCTCCGTCTCGAACTTGGCCGCTCCCGGGCTCAGCTTCACCTGGGCATAGCACAGCATAACATGGCATGGCATGGCACAACATGGCACAGCATGGCACGGCACGGCACGACACGACACGGCATGGCACGGCACGGCACGGTACGGCATGGCACGGCATGGCATGGCATGGCACGGCATGGCATGGCATGGCATGGGACGGCATGGCACGGCATGGGACGGCATGGCACGGCATGGCACGGCATGGCACGGCATGGCACGGCATGGCATGGCTTGGCACGGCATGGCATGGCTCGGCACAGCATGGCATGGCATGTAATGGCACGACATCGCACGGCACGACATGGCACGGCACGGCACGGTATGGCACGGTATGGCACGGCACGGCATGGCACGACACGGCACGGCACGGCATCAATCCACTGCTGATTAACCCGGTCATTTCAGTCAGTCAAACGTGGCGGTTAGACCTGCCCGAAATAACTCGTTATTGAATACTGTTTTGCATAAAAATGCAATTGAATAAATGCCGTGGTGGTAGCACAAAAAATATTATTTATGTTACCGAAGCAATGTAATGAATTTTGTGTATACTCATTCCTCAAATCCGAAAGGTGAATGTCTTTCAAGGTGGAAATTAGCAAGTCAGAAAATGGTGCGATGATGCACATAAACACCGAAAGTGACGATTCGTGTACTGGAAGAAAGGGAATACAATAACCCATATGGAATTGATTTTGAACACGAAATGTAAATTTTGGTACCCGTATAACCTTTGCTTTCCGATCCAAGTATTACTAGTTGGTCGTTAGTTGTTTTAAAGACCTGAACCTCCTGCGAATGACTGCGCAATCCTAACCGGTCTACACATCCTAACCGGTCTAGTCTGAATAATCTCAACTTTACCGGCAATTAGCAGTAAAGAAATGACTGCTTTATGAGCGGAGTGTAAACAAAGTATTTATTTTTTTTTACTTCTTATTGCTTGTATTTGCTCGATAAACACTGCAAGATTCCATGAATCCAGTTCATTACGGTCGTGAGGGAATTTCGTTAACAGTAGGATGACGATGACGATACATGTTCCTCTATTGAGGAAATTATGGGAGGGAAATTGGAAAATAAGTACAGATACTCTTATACTAATAAATTATTAAATTAATGTATTAATAAAATATGTTACATATCTAATGAACTTGCATCCCGTACCAGTGAATGCTCCCGTGATCTGGGAATTTCCTATAATTTCAGCTACCGCTGATTCCACTTACCTCACGCCGTTTCGTTCTCCACACTATTGAGGTAATTTCAAATGAGAACACTTAAAGTTCTAAGGAAAATAAAATATATTGTTCGTTAGTTGTGGGTTGCTAATCAATCGGCAAACTGTTATCTACTCCGCTTTCGTGAACATTTTGTTCCGTATTCTTGAACAACCGATTAATTATATATAATACCTTCTTCAAGGTTTTGCCAATCTTCTAATCTCTTGAAGGTACTAGTAATTGCTTATCTAAACAAGTATTTCATTTTAAATATCCTGACTTAATCGTCAGATGTCTACTTCTTACGAACTCTAGCAAGCCTCTCTCAAACAAAACTCGCCTTCGTAGCATACACCATACGACGTGTGACTACGTACCTCAATTGTTCTATCTCTTGCCAGTTGATACACTCATATCAAGTTCTACATTTACATTTCGAAACAAAATAATAAATTAGATTAAAAAGGGCATAAAATGTAACGAGTTTGGTCAACGTAAAACTGTTGGTCATCTGAACTGGGTCGTCAGTAAAACCCTTGGTGCGTAAATCAATGAGCGGAGGTAGCAGGGAGTGAGTACCTACCTTGACGACGTAGGCGGCGGCCGGCGCGCCCAGGCCCGGCAGGCGCTGCGGCAGGTGTCGCGCGCCCAGCACCGTCACCTGCAGCTTGCCCCCTTGCTGCAGGCGCGCGCGGAATCCCACGGCAGGCACCGGTTCGGCGCTGTCATCGTCCACGGGCCGCGCCGCGCCCGCCGCCTCCAGCGCCGCCGGCGCTGCTCCGCCCCCGCCGTTGCCGCCACCTCCGCCTCCGCCCCCGGCCGCTAGTCGCGCTTTGCGCAGAAGGCCGCGCAGCGTCGCCACCGCCGCCACTGACATGGCCGCCGCCCCGCCGCGCTCCGCCCTCTGCGAAATGAAAATGTTCCTTGTGTTACAAACATTACTTTTGTTATAAGCATCTACGTTACTAGTTTCTAATGCGTACTGAAATTGAATGATTTATTGATTGGTGTTTTCGGGTGCATCAGATGCTAAGCTCATGAGTTCCGTAAGTGTAGTGCATTTGCCCACCTAGCAGAGTTTTCCCCCACCAGGTATCTCCAAAGAGTAGGCACAGTCCCAGCCAGGACAAGCTCTAAGCCCCTTACCGATCTCTTGACATGTGAGCAAGTGTAGTGCATGTAAGTGTAAATGTATGTAAGGGATGAGGATAGGACAAGCAAGGGGGAAGGAAAATCGCGCGCGGTCATTGGCCCGTTTGGTATGGTTCAGCTCCGGCATTCGACTGGTGTTGATTAGACAAACCACGCAAAACTGCCGATCAGAGCAGCCGGCCTCTAAAATTCTCCTGCAGACAGTAGCTAAACTGGACCCAACTGTCTAGCGTGTGTCAAATCTCATGTCATCGTTGGGAACCGAATGCTTGGACCTCTCGGTCAAAGGCTTTACAGTGACATCAGTTGATGCCCTGAGCCACCAAACTATAGCGAGCTTCAAATTTCGAATTTACAGTAGAGCTTAAGCGACATTTTCTTAAAAACGGCAGCAAAAATTTTCAAAGAAAATTGCAATTTTGGACGAGGCTTTACTGTTATTTAATATTCTTAAAAAAATATTGCGTTCTGTTATTAGGAAATCAAAAAATTAAGAAAATTAAAAAGAAAATCTTTGGTGGGCGATAAATGGCATCTGGCAAGAATATGTAGCAAGTTCGTATAGCTAGCCGAGACCAAAAGAAATGAAAACCTAATATGGGAAAGTCTGTGCCACCACTAGTTTAAAACTGAAGCTTGAACGTGAGGCGCGCACGTCAACTCGTGGTTCGTGGCAACCAATGCCTTTACTCGAGCTATCAACGAACACTTAGGTTTGCGATAGAGCCAAGTGGCAAATGGGAAGAGCATTAAAAAGCTGTCGAAGCGAAGGGAGACTTCTCTAAACTAAACGTTTCTCTTCTTCTCGATGAATGTTCAGTTGTTTTCTGAACTGTCACTTTAGTCCTATCAAAGCTTAACGTGACTTCTTGTATATACAACACAGCGTTCCAAATCATTCACATACATATGAGGGCTATTTTTGTTATCAAAATCTGATCGATCGCAAAATGAAAACCACAGTGGAAATCCGCCATGCGTCATACTGTGTGTCACGATTCAGGCTGTTAGGGAAGGAAGGGAGTGTCAACCGCCTACATCATTATGTCTGTAATGAATTTGAGGTGCATTGTACCCCTTAGCATGAAGAAATAGAAAGACAGCAAGCACTATATCTTGGCGGGAGTACATATTGTTCAGGGCATGTTTACGGTTCGCTATGCGCCGAGAACTGACAACTGCAATGTGACGCGATTGATGTTATTCTGGATACACTGCGCGACATGTGTGCTCACAGCGTCATTGGATTTTCATTGTGGTTTTAATTTTGTGACCTATCGGACGGTGAGCACCGATAAAAGCGCCGGTAATGGATACAATTAAAAACATTGTTGTACTTTTCTTGAAATTTGTCGACTACAGTTCTAAATTCATTTTGTGAAACTCAATGGGTTTGATTGATTGAATAGAACAGCCGGCTGCTAGAATTTTCCTCCATACACGGCTGCATTCGACCTAGCTGACAAACTACTGTCGAAAATCCACCGTCAGGACTCTAACTCTTGTATCTCCGGGTCATACTGCGGTTACATCAGAATTCAGTGAGCGATTAACATAACGTTTTACCTTCTCGTATACGTACGTATCTACGAAGTAATATACGTATAGAATAGGGAATGTTATGTAATGCTGCGAAAAATCCATTTCGAGATTTCAACGGAAATAGACGTTTTGAGGTTCCCAGATACTGATTTGGGATTCCCAGATTTTTCACAACGTCCGTCTGTCCGTCCGTATGTCCGCCTGTCCCTCCGTTTAGCAGTTTAGCAGTTGCCAAGCCGCAAGGCAACACAGTGCAGCGGCCTTGGCAACCACATCCGTAGAGTTTTCCACTCAAGAAACGACCCGGCGAAGCCGTTGTAAGTCACAATCATTCAAGAGAGATTGAGATATGTTTTCGTGAAAAGGAAACAATTGAAATGGCACGTAAATTGACGGCATATTCTCATTAGCAGTATCGTTCGTAAGGCAGATTAATATATCTTCGATTTTACTATCTCTCCCTTACAAAGTATTTCGTAAAAAGATATAGTTATAAAATCGAGAGCCAGAAAACAGCGACTCTTTGGCAGATAAACTCTTATTGATGGCCCTGATAGCGAAAAATTGGATTAACCATGTTTAAAGGTTCATACGTGCATGATATTTGGTAACATAGGTCTTATGAGTTATATTTCACAATAAACATTACGTCGCTGTTTTTTAAAATCATTGGGCATCAACTCGCAGTATGAGCCTCTGCTTGGAACGACTTGTGTAGATCTCCGAAAAGCAGCACAAATACAGAATACTTTTCTCTGCTTCACTGTGGAAATCGCCATATTCCCGGGCAAGAGCTTGTTCAACTACGTTGTCTACTACTATCCGACTCTTTTAAGTACATAGTTGCGAATTTCCCTCAAGTAATTCACAAAATGAAACAATCGTTACTGGTAACGCTAATGGTTCGCGAATTTCTCAAAGTTTCTGTGTCAATTGTCACGCGAAACTACGCGCTGGTGGTCACTAATCTCTGCTCTGCACTCCATGTCATGCACTCTGTGCATGCGATCTACTTCTGTGTTTTAGACGGTCCCATTTATACTTGTGTACCGCGGCATCGATTGCCCTTTGCACAACTCACGCTAGGCGTCTTAATGCGCGACGTTTTGAACCGATGAACGGATGAGGGCGTGAAACCATGTAGAAAACCAATTGCACTGCGGACTTTCCAACCTGCTAAAACATCGCATTTAAAATGTATTAATGGTTGTCAATTTTCATCGTAATCCAACATTTTTAGTATTATTGTATTTGTCTTTTCAAGGCCTATGTACTTGTATTTAAAATAACGCATGTTATCAACATGCCAATAACTGCTAGTCCAACTGATAAAGCCCCTAGGCTCTCAGTCTTTTGAGCAAATTTCATTTTAAAATCTTGAACCGTTTAGAAAATACGAGTATTCAAGGTGAACGTTTTTAATAACTAACTCCTGAATTAAAAGAAGGGGAAATATGTTTATATATATATATATATATATATATATAGAGAGAGAGAGAGAGAGATCGAAAGAGAGAACGTTGGAAAAAAAGGTGAATTTTCCTGCAGAAAACGCTTGATTAGAGAAACCGGTAACGTAAAAGTGGATACAACCACTTCGTCTTTTGATACCGCCAAAATGCGAATGACGCAAAAACGTCTATCTGTTAATTACGCTATGCGTCTATCTCAACAATCAGCCGGATTTTCTCTCCAAAAAACTGATGTTCCCCCGAATTTTGGAAAAAAAGTTAGTATCGTTTCATTAAATTTTGTTATTGTGTAGTTGGCTAAAATACGTTTATGAAAATGTTGCAGATATCATGTTTCTTGAATTCCTGATTTTCGAAAATTTTCAAAAGTGTGACACTTTATCGGCGTTTTCCTACAACTAAAATATTAACAGACAGAGTTTTTTCACTTAACGAAATGTGTTCACTTAAAAATAGATTTTTGAAATAAAATCATGCACAATTTTTTTTTGAAAATTTGAGTACTTCTGGCCAAGGCTTTGCATACCAAAAACGAAGAAGAAAGATACGTGCGTGTTTTTTTAGCACCACCAGCTTGATCTGGTGAAACTAGCCACTATGTGCTTCCTTTGCCCCCTTTCATTTTCACAAAATTGGTGATAGCCAGAAAGAGGGATGTTGTAAGAAACCGCTGGTAAAAATAAAGTTTTTGTTGAGTTATTCTTTATAGGAATACAACATCTGAAAACTATCACAAAGCGGCAGAGGAAATTTTCATGGTAGTGAAGTTTTCAGTTGCTTCATTAGCGACTACTATTGTTTGTACGAGGTACTGTAAACTAATTGATGTCACCGATTGATGAAGGGGTGAAGGACGAACACAATACAACCATAGCCCAGCGGGACTCGAAACCCGCGAACATTCTTTACCAATTTCTCAGTTTTTCTCGTCCAGAATAAGTAGAACCCGCGAAAAAATGTAACTTAAATTGTTATATGATATGATTGTGAGATGGTAAAATTCACGGATGCATAGAGATACAGAATAGATAGAAATTAGAGAGAGACTTAGAAAACACTACGAACATTCACATTATTGAGCGAAGTATAAGCGTATTTTAACCACACGGTGCCCCGAGCAACCTATTGTTCACCCCTGTAAGCTACTGAGACGGTTCATGTATCGAAATTCAGCTTTCACTCAATAGTACGGAATCATGGGGAATATAACATGCCGTAGAAATATTGTGTGAATATTTTTAGTTTTCGTGAAATTATTACATAATTATTTCCGGTAATCGCACGTGTAACTTATGTCACACTACAACGTATATGTTCATAGTTTTTTGTAACCCTGTCTAACGATAACGTCAGAATTACTTCACATCGGTACACTTATCTCCGACTATTTCACTGCAGAGTTACCACTCAAACTCTTGATGCGATGACAGTGCGGTGTGAATGGACTCTAGCAAGAATGCGATCAATCCCCTCTTCAAACGTTCTGTTACAACATTTGGTTGACGTGCTCTCTTTTATGTTGCCAGTGAACTATTCTACTGCCTCTCAACTAGAGATTACTACCATTTACGTTCCCGATAGTACAAGTAACAGAATGCTTTCAGGCGCTTTCATGCCAGTGGTTTTTGATAAGCGCCGTGGTTGCCCACTTACACAAAATCCACAAAATTTAGTGCGTTGACACCGAGAACATGGCAACAGCACTCAAGCTCGAGTGACATTGGGAAGTGCCGTAGCTTTTTACCTGCCGCAGGAGCATGCGCGACTGGCTCTCAGGAGGTGAGGTGAGGTGAGGAGGTGTGCGCGGTGTGTGGATGGACGCCATACACTGGTGCGTTACAGCAACCACCAACCACTCACCACCACCACCCTCCACCTCCACCTCCACCCACCAACCAGTCACCCCTCACCACCACCACCCCCCTCACCACCACCACCACCACCTCACCACCACCACCCCACCACCGCCACCACCTCACCACCACCCACCGCCGCCACCACCGCCGCCACCCCACCACCACCACCACCACCACACCACCACCACCACCACACCACCACCACCACCACCACCACCACCTAAAACCCCACACAACCTCATTCACCACCACCATACTGTCATTATTGCCTCTCCTAAAAATTTCAAACCTCTTTGTGTGTTTAGAATGCATTTTCCATCAGTTTATTATGAACGTCAAAGCTTTCGCTCCAATTTACCACAATTAATTGAAATATTAGTAAATTTGTTGAAATATTAAAATGCTACAGAGCAGTTGCTCGGAGACGCAGTTGCCGTAACTTCGTCTTCGTCACCACTTTCACGGTTTTCTTCACTGATAATTTTCAGAAGGCCCTCTTCATTGCGGTCATTATCGTGAGAGATGAATGATCCTTAATTAAGTTCTTGATAATGACGTCAAAGCTTTCGCCTACAATTTACCGCAATACAATTGAATTCCTTCACAATCGTGTTATTCTATTATTCTGAATTGAAATTCCTACTTGACATTTTTTGCGGAATGTGAACCTTTGAGCTCCGGTGTCTGCCGAGTTGGGTTTCCGGATGACGGTGTTGAAGAAGGGAAATCTGATCCCTTTCAAAGAAAAGGACGACTAAATGACGTTCATGCTAATGCTCAAGTTGCGAATGTTCAAATCGACAGCTTTCCCTGTGGGCTTGAGTGTTCAAAATTGGGGAACAGCGAATTGGCGGATATGAAGGAATACACTACTGCCATCGAAAACTGTGCTACAGAATGGCACAGACTTTCTCGTAGTTGGTAGTTTTCTAATCTAGTCCCATATGCAAAATTTCATTGAAGAAAATTTAATATTTGTGCGAAAATATCGTTGGAGCGTATCTTAAAAGCTCTCGACTGGTCTCTGGACATATGTGCCACAGTAGTGTATGCAAGTATGTGTGGGGTGATTATAGGACAAGGAAGAGAAAAGAAAGGTCGGGCGCGATCCGTGGCCCATTTTTTAGGGTACTACTCTGTCATTCACCTGATATTGATTGGAGAAACCACGGACAACTACCACAAAGAGCAACCGGCCGCCAGAATTATCCTCCAGGCAGTTGCTGAATTCGCCCAAGTTCAGTAGCTAGTGACGAAACTCTTTCCACTGTGCGGACTCAAACCTTAGGACCTCCCGGTCAGAGGCAGTGCTGATAGGCAAAGCAGAAAAAATCGCAATTTTGGAGCCATTTTTGAGGAAAAAATTAACTCAAAATTAAAATAATCGTTTCCAATTCAAGGAACCGTGGCATTCAGATTGATCAATATCGTTTTGGTGAAAATCCTGTGTACATTTTACCCGCTTGCGTATTCACACACACACACACACACAGCATAGACGTTTTACACTAAACCAATATTTCGGTATAAAAACCTACAAAACGTGAATTCTGACTACACAACGTTTTAGAGGAAGTAAATTACTACATGTAGGAAAAGGAATTATCCACCTTTTTGGTATCGGGGGGCCTACAAAATGAATTTTTCTGACGAAAAATTGCCGTGTTTCCCTGCATAATTAGGTATATTTTTCTACACTTCTTATATATTATGCGAGAATTTAAAACAAATCTTCCACTCCTCACGCATCTCATGAATGCGAACTCAAGAAAAACGTGCGCAGATTTTATGAGTACCTGAATGCCACTTATCTTTTTCTGTCATGTCATTTCTCATATGATCTTTCGAAGGCACACTTCTCATTTCGGCGCCCCAGTCATTTGTAATAGTAGTTAGTGCTCCAGTTCAACCAACAGATTGCTCTGATAGCAATGTTTTTATTACGGGATAGTTTCACGTTTTTGTTAGGTTAGTTGTAACCAGTTCATCGCGTTTTTGTGTGATGTTTCCTTTTTGAGTTCTAATTTAATGGTGATTCACTATTGTTACACTAAACCCTGTTTTTCTGGATACGCAAGTTCAAGAAACCCCTATTCTGGGGTAAAATTTATGTTCCTGTGGAAATAAATCTCACGGCGTCAGCAAAAGAACGTGGTATTTATTGGCAATTTTCCTGGAAACATTCAAGGCAACAAATTCAGAACATCCAGATTTTGTAACTCTTTTTTTGGTTGATAAAGTTTTAATAATGTGTTGCTAGTAGAAAGTTAGTATCATTGGAGACACTTTTATAGTTGCATATGTTTCATGTATTGGGTATTTAATGTATGATCACAAAACAGTGTTTTACATTTTCAAAAAAGTAGATGAAGGGTTTAAAAAAGTATATTTCAATTTGCATATGTAATGAGAAATTCTGATAGACATATAGCTGTCAATACTTGATCTTGATTAAATTGATGATTGATCTTGATTAACTGATCTCATATATTCTGAAATATATAAAAGAAGCAGTATGCATTGAGTGTGATGGAAGTGAACTTGTGAAACAGAAAGAAGATGGGGCAATTCAATATATTTTGATCAAACAATAAGATGTGTTCCTGTGTCTACAGGTGTCACCTGAATGAAAATATACTATATAATATTATTTTTCTCATTCAGAAATTTTGTTTCAAATTGTACAAGTGAGTTATATTGAAGATGGTGATTCAAAATAATTCAATTTAATGACAATAAAACCTTTGATAACTTAGTTAGATAACAATTACCTACACATCGTTTTGTAGAGTGCAAATGATTCAAATAGCTGTAGATCACGCTGTAATCTGTTTAAATAATGGTTAGTAAGGTGAATTTACATTTTTGAAATGCTGAACTCGGACTTGCAATGCTTACAAAGAACTTATACAAGAAAAGCGATCGCGAGAGTCGCGGGAAAATGAAGAAGAGAAAGTAGATATGGTGAAGAAGATTGGGCAGAAAACAAATGCTACGGATAGGGATAATTGTAAGTATTTCATTTTTTTTAAATAATACAATTTAAAAAATTATTTTTCTTTCGTAGTTTTCTGTGATTATTATTTTTATTATAAAGATACATTTTTACAGCTTATATTGAATTTAGAAATTTGAAATTTGCAACGATTTAAAACGTCATTGATCTGTTAATGATCAACGATGTATATATATTAATTTTTATTAAGGTTTATCAACATGAATTAAAAAAAGAAATGAAATTTTTTACCGCTAAAATTTAAAACAAACCTGCACATTTACTTTTAAATTACACTTCCCATTCTTAATGCAATGTAGTGTGAATTCTATGTCATAAACTTCGCCATTGAAGATCCAATGAAAAGTGTACCTTTATCCATAAGTGTAAGTTGCAACATTACGAGTACATAAAAGCACTTAGAATTTCCAAGATTATTAATTACTTTAATGTACACTTCATTGTATTACGTTAGTTTCACAATTAGATTAGTAGTGAATATTGTTTTTTAATGAATTGGCCTTTAACACATTCACTTACCTATATTTCCGCCAAAGTTCACTGATGGAAATTCGCTTGTGAATATTGCTTCGTTTCTTTGCACAAATATCACTAAACCTCCATACTGAATATGCATTTATAACTTTGGAGACTTTTTTAACATTGTATACTTTGTATTTGCGTATAACCGGGGAAATTCAAACATTTTCAGGAACACTGAGCCGAAGCGCTTGGAAGAGCTCTAGACAAGTCGCTCATGCAGCTAAGGCGTGACTTAAAAAGGCAAGAGGCGCGATTGTAATTTCAAGTCGCTGTAGGAAAGTCATTCAACAGCAGTCAATTGTTCCCTCGTGATAAATGTTGTTTTTTTAAAATCCATTTTCTACCTATTCGGCAGTTTTGCCTTCCAGGGGTTTTATTTCAATACAATTTCAAATTTTTATTTTCAATATATAGCATTTGGGCATACAACCTCTCACTCTTCTATCTTAATACTAGCTAATTTACAGGATTTCATACTCATATTTTTAACATATCTCAATAATTTACACACAATACTCAAATTTGTACTACACAATATAAATTCCTAAATCTAGATACTCTCTAAACATACATTCAAAAGTAATCTTAATATTACGTGAACAATTTGTACGTTTTTATTTTTAACATAAACGTGATAAATGTTCAAAGAATGGGTATTCGATCCCCGCAGTAGAAAACGTTTTAAAAACTTTTCTCTGCAGCATAGCCATTGTTCCTGCCTGCGAGTGGGCTGTATACTATTATCACACCTTTTGAGTGCTGAGCGGCGAGGAGAGTAATATTTCCGATGCAAATGAGCGAGCGCCGCGCGGCGCAGAAAGTGGCCTGCGCTCGGTCGCGAGCCCTGTGCGGTCGCCTCTGGCAAGCCGGAAGTGGCGCCTCGCGAACAAAATTAGGGCCCCGCACCAGCCCCTGCGCTTCACGTGGGCCAGACCCGCCTCTCCGGCGCCTCGCCCCGCCGCCGTTTCCGTGCCTCGCCGCTCGCCTCCTTGCATCACACCGCGTCGGCTCCGTCACGGCTCATACCGCCCCGCCCCGCCCGCCGCACCGCCCCGCCCGCCCGCGACCGTCCCGTCCTGTCCCATACCGTCCCGTCCCGCCCCGCCCCGCCTCGCCCCGCCGCTGCACCGATTGCAGCCGCCAACCCTAGCACCCACACGACCCACCCGGCCCAACCCGCCTTACCCACCAGCCCCACCAAGCCCCCACCTCAGCCGCCACCAGCCCCACCCACCCCAGCCGCAGCCCCTACCGCAGCCCCACCCAGCCCAACCAGCCCGCAAGCAAGACCCGCAAGGCTCGTCTTGCCCCGCCCTGGCTCGTCCCGACACGTAACACATTTGTCCGCCCATCTACTCGGCTTAGGTGGCTCAGCGCAGCAACTGATGTCACTGCAGTGCTTCTGTCCGGGAGGTCGTGGGATTTCAGTGC